CAGTCTCTCATCCACTGAGAAAAGAAGTAATGACTAGTTTTATTGAATGTAGACTGATCAACTCACGTTTTATAAACCGTTGCCTCAAATAAAAAAAATTTCTGTATAAAGATGGAACATATTTAATTACGGTGAGCAGTTATTCAATTTTTCTCATGTATAAGATTATGAATTAGTCAGTCAAATGGGTAAATATGTAGATGATTCATTGTAAAGTCTTATAAAAAGTAATACAGCTTTTTATGTCTGTAGTTTAACAATATACGACAAATATAGTTTTTTGTGGTTTGCTCGAAAGCTCTCCTAATTGTATTCAAAGTACTTGTCAATCCTGACTCAGTATGAGCCAAGAGACAATTCTGAAATGACTTAATAGTGCAGTTGACTCCAACAGAATTTACTCCAGATTAGAAATGATAACAATGTTGTTGTTTGGTTACCTTAAAGTTTAGAATGAACATAATATAGAAAATAATAAATTATCTATGAACCTTTCCAAAAATGTAAAGGGTTTAGGTTTTCCTTTTGAATTTATAAGAGACTAGATTCAATCAGTCTCTTTTGAAAATATAAACTCCTTAAATGAACACTCGTTGAACAATCTAGTGGTCATCACGACGCATTAGCTTAGTAAACACCACTCTCGGATTCGAAGTCATGGATAAGGTTTTCAGTGAGATTAAAAACACTAGAATACTGACAAATTTATTTGAGTAGTCCCAAATGAACAGAATCACCTATCTCAGGCGTCACTGCTAACGGCTGTTTGAAACGATAAAAACTGGTTTTTGTCTTACCGACAAACATATCTATAAATTCACTCCTGATAACAATTATTATTACTTTCATGTAAATCAATTAAGTGGCCTATAAAATATCCATATCTCATCACCTTTAAGAATGGTGCCTTATACAGATACTTAGAACAATGACTAGTCAGACAAAATTGATTTATATACTATATAACTGAGGCTTTCTTGTCAAAGAATTTCGACTTTACGATAAATCGCTTGTTAACCAAGATATAGAACTAGGTATTTATATGTACACTTAAGCGAGAATTACAAAGAATATTTACATTTAATCTACTTATCACAATAGATTTACAGTGCAATACAGAAAATTTGCGATTGTAGTGCAACCGAAGCTAGTTCAATGATGTAAACAAAAGTTATATATATATATATATATATATATATATATATATATATATATATATATATATATATATATATATATATAATAGTGAACGGCATATGCTCTTTCACGAGAAGTAACATGCGTAACTAAGTATATGTAATACCAGCATAAATTATGCAGTAGCTTCTTACTCGTTGAATATAAAAGTAAAACTGTTCCAGGATGTTGTGATGTAATGTCGTCTAACATATTATCTAAGTAAATTTGAAACTACTGATGAGTAAACTACAATAAATTACTGAAAATCTTTAATTTCTGTTGTTGGCACACAACTACTTGAAAAAACAAATCTATATTGGAACTCCCGAGGTTAGTATCAAAGAATTACTTCTGAAATGTACAATGAATGTCCATTTTGTCCTTAATAACACATATTATAGACAAATTGATGATAAAGCGATGGGTTCGCCTCTAGGTCCTATCCTTGCGAAACTGGAAAAGGAACCTCTAAAAGATGTTACTGATAAGCTCAACTTCTACTGTCATTACGTTGATGATACTTTCATTATTGTTGATCAGAACACTGGAAAGAAATATCTATTAAAACTATTTAACAAACATCCAGCAATTAAATTTACATGTGAAGAAGGACTAGACAATAAACTATATTTCCTTGACGTTCTGTTAAATAGAAAAGAAAACGGTTCTATCAGTAGGAGTGTGTATAGAAAAAGTCCTTCATCAAGTCAATACACACATTTCTTAGGCTTTGTGCCCTTCATTATAAGGGAAACTTAGTCAAATGTCTGGCAAATAGAGCTATTAAGATATACTCAGTCGGTACAAATAACAAGGAATTAGAACTCATACATAATATGTTGATTATAATGCGTTATCCACAGGGTTTGCTGAAGAAACAGTTGCGTGTAACAAACAAGAAAATAATGACATCAGCGGCTAGTAAGAAGCCTCTCTTCCTGAAGCTGCAATTCAATGGAGATGTAGTTAGTGATGTACTACGTGATATAGTGACTAGAGCAGTGAAGAGAACGCTTAATGCAGCCAACCTCTGTCTATCGTACTCGATCCTATTTATGGTGATTCCTCAACTGAATGATAAGTTACCTGGATATGCCATTTCTATGTAAATCCACGAATTCAGGTGCTCCTGTCGAGAAAGCTATAATGGGTGCACTACCAGACAACTGAACCAAAGAGTTACTGAACACCTCTTTTCGTGGTTAGGAAAGTTACTGTCAAGACACTACGCAGCTCGAATCTATCGATAGCCGTCATGTAGTAGACAGAAATAAATCATTTATAGTTATTTATTGTATTTCTACTAGTTTCCCTTATAGTGTTTGATCTTATCTCATACACATAGCAGAAACTACAGGAATTCCAGCCAAAAATCCAAGTCTTTGTGCTCATAAGAAATTTGTAACGCCTTTATCTTTCCCTTGGCCTCAATAAATTTTATTTATTATTATTTTCCATACTCTCTCTTCGTTTATTTTTCCTCACCTCCTCCTACCATTTTGTTTTATTTTCTCACAAATATACGTTTCACGGTCCAATTATCTGGACACTTCTTATTACGTAATCTTATAAATTTTATGAATGCTATTTCAATATCTATATTTTTCTAATTATTGACCAATTTCCCATTATGTAACATTAATTCAAGCCTTTATAATTTTATCATAATTAGTACACCTGTCATCACACTACCAATTAGTACTTTTCACTTATGTAATCTATTCCACTGTTATGCAGATAAGTCTAGTTGACAGTTGTACTTAAGTTGACCAATTTTCCATTTCATTTTTAATTACCAGAAATGAGGTAAATTAGTAAATTGAGTAAAATAAAGTTCGTGTAAAAGAAGGAAATGGACTGTGGTTAAGTTTTGGTAAAGATAAATCGTTTATATATTTATGCCGTTTTTGATAAATATCAGACTGTCAGCTAGACTTATCAGACATTGATATGTAATATCCAATATACAGTTCACCCATAACTACTCAAATTTCCGACATGAAATAGGCTATGAATAAAGAATTTAGTGGTTTATTGAGTATACCGAAACGATTTCAGATGTTAGTTGGTAGTTTTCTACAAAATAACAGTGGGATAAAACTGCCAAACAGTGTTTAGAAATTCATAGACAATTTTACTCGGCTATGTAGGAAGCACTGCGATCAACCACTTTTGACATGACATTTGTATACAGAAAAAAGGTATAATATTTTGACGTTTGTCAGTTGTGTTCTCTCTTTATTATGTCTAATCACTTAAAGTGAAAAGTTCAACTGGCATTAGCTCACGGCGTTAACTTTAATTTCATGTGAACCAGGTGTCTCAATTTTTATTAATTTGTTTTCATTCCTGACCTCTTTATCATTAGTAACTTCATCCCCTTTCTTTTATGACTTCACCTTCAACATATTAATACTAACCGATTTTAACTGTTATGTTAAATATATTGCTTCGTCTTGTTTTATACGTCGGTTCAAAACAAACCTCATTGATTACGGTATGTAATAAAACATTTTTATAATAATATTACTAATGTAAATTGAGGTTATTTGCAGCTGATGAGAAATTTTGAGATGGAAATAATTCATGTTCTCATGTTCTCGCTTTATTTCGTGTTCAGAAAGTTGAATGTTCTACAAGATCTATTCCATACCTCTTTCCTTTTCTAAATATGCATTAGTATTAAAACTTTCAAACAATTACCAAATATCTATTTCACCCAATGTTCACAATTAATTACTATTTAATAAATTTTGAGTCATTCATCATGATAAAATATATATGAAACATTCTGAACTATATGTAAAAAGCTGATTCTAGAGTCTGTAACGAATGACGATCATTAGATTACCACAGTTTAGTATAAATATTAACTTGTTGGCCAAGAAGTATAGTGGCCATGGTTTCAATCTTTGACGGACTGTGAGCATGAGGATTATTGAAAAGTTTAACAACTAGAAAAAACAGCTAAATAATAGTGCTCGATGATTTTCAAAATATTAGTTCGTCTGAATTCAGTTAATAATGTAATACATATATAGATTAAACCAAAACTACAAATACACATATTAAAAATGTCCATTACGTACAACAATATTCTAGTTCAAATCACCTGATATTTTCATCTCATAAAAAATCGTGTTTTTAAACTACTCTATTACATAAGTTTGATTGTAACATGATTCGTGGCTTGTGAATGTATATAAATGCACACATGCACACACTTGAAAATGAAGTATGCCAAGTTGTTAGGTCATTGAAGTGTTACATAAAAAAACCCCACTCTTTACAACAATCTGGTCAGATTCGGAATTCTGTTCATAGTAAATTTATTATAAGAAGTGGCGAAATAAACATTCTTTATAATTTGGGCGGAAGTAGCTTTAAATCTAGGATAGTTTTGTTATGAAACTGAATTTCTTTCTATGGATGTATATGCTCAAATGGAAATATATTGATCGAGTATGTTGCCTAGGAGTAAAAAAGAATGTTAGGGCGTAACTCTATTCAATATAAACCGATATATATATATATATATATATATATATATATATATATATATATATATATATATATATATATATGGGCGTTTGTAATACCTGTAAAATAGTTGACATTCAGTAAGATATATTCATATAAGGGGATTTCAAATTAAATAATATGATTAAATGGATTCTATGACGCTACTTTTTTCCACTTATACACTATTTAAGAGATAAATGACTCATATATATTGTGAACTATTGTTTATAACTAAAGGTTTTCAACTTTCCCCTTCTAATTGTTTTAAGCAAAATCAAAGAACAACTTTTAATTTATTTACCATAAGCAGTATATTTATTTTGAAATTAAAAGCGAAATATATTGAAGAAATATTTCAAAAGAAACTAGGCAATGATTCTTGTTGAAAAATAATACACAATACGTGTTATTAAAAAAAATTGTGCTTTTATACAAACAAATAAATCGTACAAGGAAAAGTTGAGCGTAAATAAGTCATATCTGGCTAGGAAAAGCGAAACACATGCTTGTTCATTCACATTTTGAAAGATGAGATGTTACACTAAGATAATGTGTTTAAAAAAGAAGATAATACTTGGAAGGAAGAGAGAGAAAATGATAAACATATAAATCGATCGAATGTCAGAAAAGGTCAATAGAATCAAAACAATGGAGCATAAGAAATGGACAAATAAAGTTATAACTAACAACAATGTGATAATACGTAGCTCAAATCTTGAATAATCGAGTGAATAATCATGACATTATATTTGCAGAAATAATACATTCAGTGTATATGTTCTAGTCAGATTATCACAAATGATAATGACTCTATTTGATTTAAATAAGCAGTGGTGCATTTTGAAAAAAGTCAAAAAATGTTAATTAATTTTCATTAAAAATGAATGAAAAACAAAAACAAAAAGAAAGGAATTGATTGTGTTTTAGCAAAACAATTTTTATTGGCTTTATTTAAATATTTAATCTTATGATCTACAAATTTACTAATTCACAAATTTAAATTTTGTTTTAGTCAATTGGTTACAAATGTAAAAGAAAAAGCTCTATTGAAGTCAATCCATTTTTCAAATTTAATAAACAATCAACTAATGGTATCTAATAAATAAAGTTATTATGAAGAATTAAGTAAACTCAAATTTTTATCACAGCTGTACAATAATTCTTTAATGGATATCATTAATAAAGACTATATTGACTACAATAGTAACAATAACAACAACAGTGTTAATGACTTACATAAGATACTGTGCTGATATGTGCCTATATATTAATTGTGTGTAATAAATTTGACAGATTTTTTAAAAGCATTATGTAAGAAAAGGCTGACAGAAAGATATTCGCACTAAATTAATTAGAAAATTCAGCAGGTGGTGGCAGTAAAAATTCTGAGTTGGTCGGAGAACTTCCTCTAATTGATAATCTTGATTCATCTCTGATCGATGTTCTTGTAATTGTATTATTATTGTTTCTGTAGTAGTAGTTGTTGTTGTTAATGATGTTTGTATCGTAGATGGTGATTCATTGTCCGATAGATAATTGATACTTTTCTTTCTTGTCTCCGGGTTCAATGATATCGGTCGTCTAATGAGATGTGATGGTTTACCTGTTATAATGGATAAATTCTGTTGTTCCGGTGTAAAATATGAACGTAGTAAAGGTGATTGCTTTGTTGAGATTCCACGTGTTACACTGGCTGGATAATCACTGCTAAAGTGTTTATGTAATCTTTCATCAACTATATGTAAATCACTATTTTGTTGCCTAGGCTTTTGTGTATAATTAGTTTGAGAATGTGAAGAGTTCTGAGATTCATTTGAACCAACACGTTGAAATCTTGGATGGCGAGGAAAGTATAATGAGTTTATCATGGAATTTCCAGATTTATCGTGACAAATCTAAGAAAAATTAATGGAAAGGAAACAAATATCTTAAGTGTTCAGTATTTTACTTGATGGTAGGTGGTTGAGGTCACTTAGAATTACGTTCCGAGCTTTAAATTTTGAACTATTTCGGACATATCCTCTTTGCATGGGAAACTGATGTTTCTGTTCAGAGTTGTAAAATGCTTTCCATTCTTTTTTTAGATAAAATGCATTTTCACTGTAAAAGACACATTAGAAGTTAGCTGAGTGTCCAATTATTGAATCATTTCTAATACAGAGCTATCTACATCGAAGAATATAGTGTATATGTTATAGTATTTAAGTTCATTATAATGGAAGGAAATCGTCAAACGCTTTTATATAATTTTCGTCAAAAATAAGCCAACAATTTTTATTCTAGCCTTTATCATGGACTGACGTCAACTGAGAAATGATTAAAATCCAGGGAAGGCTGGGTGGTATTTTGTTTTTGCAACGTAAGCCTAAACGTTTCCAACTTGAGATTAATGTCAGTCAGTCAGTCAGTAACAACGTGGAACTTCGTACGTACGTACATCAGTTCGAGTTGCCACACCACATTAGCACACAGATGCAGTGGTCGATTCAAATCCCGTACTGGTAGAGGCAATAAGAGTATAAGCAGTAATCGGGAAAATTAGTGTTTGGAGATGTTATTTAAAGAGTATAATATAGTGAAATAAATTTGGGAAGAGGAAAAAAGAGACAAGGAGGAACAAGGAGATCAAAATTTGTGAGAACACAAAGAGTGTATGCACCTGCGCCATTGCAAACGATTCTGAGCCATGTCATTCAGGGTCTCTAACCATCGGTTGCTATCATCTCGCGGTTCCCAACCAGGTAGTCTACACCTACCAACATGGCTCAGTTCACTTGCCAGTGACTTCATAGATTTTTGCCATGTTTTTGTCTGGCCACCCCTAGCTTTCTTCCAATCTACTTCTATACAACAAAACATCGCACATCGAGGCAGTCGGTCGTTGGGCATACGTAACACGTGTCCCAGCCATCTCAACTGATGAACTTTCACTACTTCATCAATGGATTTTCCATCCTTACCTAGTACCCGTTTCCTAACAACTGCATTACTTACTCGATGGTCCCAGGGTATACGAGCAATGTATCGAAGACACCTATGATCAAATACTAGTAACCTACGAATATCCTCTACTCTTACCGGCCATGTTTCACTGCCATAAAGTAGGACGGAACGAACTGCTGCGCAGTAAACACGTCCTTTGGTTGATAGACGGATATCTCGCCTACGCCATAAATGACGCAAGTTGGCAAAAGCTAGTCGAGCCTTCTGTATCCGTGCTGAGATTTCGTCACACACCAGACCACAAGGGCTGATGAGACTTCCAAGATAAGTGAAGCGGTCGACACACTCAACTACTTCACTCCCTATCACTAGTTCGGGTGTCGATGTAACCCAATCCTGAAGCAACATTTTGCATTTCGAGGGAGAGAATCGCATCCCGAACATGCTTGCATTGTTGCTTAGAGTGGTCAGAAGACTCTGCATTTTGTCAGTGTCTTCACCAAATAAAACTATGTCATCAGCATATTCTAAGTCAACAAGTGAACCTCCCGGTAGAAGTTCAACCCCTGTAAATTTAGATGAGGAGAGTGTTATCTCTAAAAGTACGTCAACGACAAAGTTGAACAAGAATGGGGAGAGTGGACAGCCCTGACGAACACCACTTGAGGTAATCAATTCTGATGACAGTTCGCCATAAGCTCTCACTCGACCAGTTGTGTTCGAGTAGAGAGCCTTTATAAGGTTAATGTACTTCTTTGGTACTCCTTTCAGTGACAAACACTGCCATAGAACCTCACGATCAACAGAGTCGAATGCCGCCTTAAGGTCGAGAAATACTACCATTGTGGGGCGTCTGAATGTGTGTCTGTGTTCTAGAACCTGACGTAGTGTGAATATCTGATCTATACAACCACGTCCAGGTCGAAAACCAGCCTGGTTTTCTCTAGTCTGCTCTTCACGAGCTTTAGTTAGGCGTCGAAGTATTATTGAAGCTAATATTTTAGACACTATATTAGTCAAACTGATTCCTCTGTGATTGTCACAAGAGGACTTTTGTCCTTTCTTATAGACTGGCACAATCAGTGATTGAGACCAGTCAGATGGGATTACGTCCAGTTCCCAAATTCTACCTAAGACCTCAGTTAATCTCATTGCTAATACTGGACCACCATCCTTAAAAATCTCAGGAGTAAACCTGTCAGGGCCTGCTGCTCTCCCTCGTTTCAGATTTCCTATGGCTTTTTCAACTTCGTAAAGGGACGGAGGACCTACATTAACTTGCCATTCAGGTTGACTGGAGATCGTGGGAAACCGAAGTGTGGCTGAAGGCCAGTTGAACTGATCCCTAAAGTGTTCTGCCCATCGATCCAATCTCCTGGATTGAGAATGAATAATATGTCCATCTTTCTCTGAGATTGTTTCGCTAACGGTCGGGTTCCTAATTCCGGTTTCCTTAACGAGTCTGAACAATTGTCTGCTATTACCTATTGCCGCTGCCTTTTCCATCTCTCTTGCTTTCGCTACCCACCACTGTTCGCGATCATTGCGTAGACTTCTTGTCAGCTTGCGCTTAAGCTGACTCCGCTCTTCATTATGTTCAGAGCCAGGTGGAATGAGTTTCCGAGCATCTATCAGTGCGATAGATGCTGCTGAGATCCAGTGTTGCTCCCTAACCTTCTGGTTTACCTTACTAGCAGATATCACTGCTGTTTCCACAGCTTTTCGGATATCATTCCATGCTGCATCGGGGTGGGCATCACATACATGGCTGCCTAACTGTTTTCCTAGTTGTTCCTGAAATATACTCTTAGCTTGACTATCATTAAGTAGGCCCTAAGAGGTTTCCTTGCAGCGTCTTTCCTACGTCCAGTAAGACGCAGACAGATACGCGCTCGCACTAGAGCATGATCTGAATCTAAGCATGTGCTCCAGAATGAGCGACAGTCTTCTATCGAGCCTCTCCATCGTTGGCTGATAGCGATGTGATCTATTTGGGTCCAACAGTGGGACGAATTAGGATTCGCCATATTAGTAATTGCAAGAAAGAGGCTGTTATCTGAGCATAGCTACAACAAACGGTCGCCATTATCTGTTCTTTGAGCCACGACGCTATAAGATCCACCCTGGTGTCTCTCCCTTTCGCTTAGTTTACCTACTTGAGCATTAAAGTCACCAGCCACTATTACTACATCAGAGCGCCTAGCTTTTCGGAGAAGGTCAGAAAGCTTTCTATAAAACTCATCTTTTACATCATCTGAGTTGCAGTTAGTGGGAGAGTAGGCAGAGGCAGCGACGAGTGTCCCTATCTTTCCGAGTTCTTACTGTTCCTTTTAGTCGGACAGCGCACAAACGACTGTCTACTGGGATCCAGTCTAAGAGAGCTAGTGCCCCCTAGGACTCAATGCTATACCTACGCCAACGAGTCCACAAGAAGCAGAATCAGGGCTTCCAGATACACGAAGTGTGAATCGAGTCGGTTCTTTATTTTGGCATTGTGATGTCAAATGAATGACGCTGCTCGGATCCTGTATGCGCGTTTCGGAGACGCAGCACACATCGATGGCGCGAGATTCTAAAGTTTTAGCTAAGGAAGCCTGCTGTCCTATTTGGCAAAGTGTTCGGACGTTAAAAGCTCCTACATGTAGTTTAGAGCGTGGTTTCAGGAGAGCAGGAATAACGTTCCGCGTACTCAAATCGTTTGCCCTAGCGGTGCGAGGTGATAAAGGGACGTGGGAGGGGTTAGTCGTGGAGATAAGAGAGGTATTAGGAGGTGTAGGAAAGATTTGGATGTGACCGTTTTGGTCTCGTGTGCTGTTACGAGTATGAGGGCTGATATTACTTCCCGGCTGCCCACACCATGTCAGGGTATTTCTTGAGGAACCTGAAATGGAGGTTGGAATAATGCTGGCCATAAAGACCAGGGAGCGTGGCTGCAGAGCCCAAGGGACAACTGTTTGAGGCCGGTCGCGCACGGCCTTTTTGTGGGAGGTTTTTAATGTGTTAAGCTCTGTTCTTCAAAGGGCCTAATCGCCGGAGACGGAAATCCATGAAGTAAGGTGAGGTGTGACATTTTTAGGGTCGACCTTTTCTAACCGCTTCCTTTCTTGTGAGGAGGCAGCAATGTTGCAGATGCTGGTTGTCCGAGGGAAACACCTTAGTGCTGTTACACCTCTCTACAGTCAGCAGTACGACTTCGCTCTCAGACCTCGAGTTGCTGCTCTTAGTCTTACCGTTCTCCAATCAACCTGCCTGGCATGGTAGAACCTACAGGAACATAAGTTCCAGCCAATATAGCTCGGTCGGGTCATCACGATAGGCAAGCCCGACCACCGGGTCAAGGTAGCAACTACGGTCGGGGAAGCTAAGATATTTTAAATGTAATATTGAAGTTATCCTTTGACTGTATTTCAGCTTACCAGAGGGAAAAAAAGTTTTTTTCTTATTCTTTTCTTTAAGAAAAAAATCATCCTATGAAATACGATGGGTTACACCCATATTGAATGTATATCTGTTTTTATGCATGTATGCATTTAGGAAAACTGATATGTTAATCAACTTATTTTGAAAGAGAATATCAATATACAATTCATTACAAAATAATGCAATGTCGTAAGATTTTTTAGAATAAAAGTTTACGTACATCAGAAATACCATTTGTTGTTTGTGATCGTGGCAATCCTTGAAATCGTACTCTATGAGTTGATGCATCAGATGGTTGCTTGTTATTTGGCATATAAGATTGTTGTATTGGATTTGAATTTGTAATAAGTCGGCTACTTGAAGAACTACGTCCGGATACGTTCGAACTGGTACACAGTGACTGACAATATACACCCTCATCTATTAGAAAGCATTTACATATATCGAATAAGAATAATCGTAAAAATAATATAAAAATCGACATTATTTGTTTTCTTCAGCCAGTCAGAAATCTGAAATTTCTGCATGATTATAAACAGTTAGGTTCCCAGCACAAACTTTTATTATAAAAGGTTACTGCAACACATATACAGTGAATACTACTGTGTAGGGTGAAAAATGTTAGGTGATACTGTTAATCATAGTGGAAAATTAAGCTTAGGTAGGACTTCCGAAGATTCGGGTGGGAAAACTGTTGATGATGATATGTTCAAAATATCAAGTGAGGAGAATAATAAAGGCATGTAAGTAAATGTTACTGGTTTTAGGGTCTTTTGTCATAGGTTTCAGTTATCGCATGACTTTAATGAGGGAGTCATCACTTTTCGACATACCTGTGCTAACTAGTATCATGTTTTGACCCAGTTACTGCTAAACTGTTATCAATATACTACTTTGGTGAGTGTGAATGAATGACGTATGTTCCAGTTACTTAGTTAACTTAATTTTCAAGCTCCATCAATTGATCGGACAGCTTTACCTAGTACGTCATGATAAACCTCAGGATTAATTACCGGATGATCGAGTCGTATGTGAGAAATACCTAGAAAATATTTCTGATCAAATACCATACTTAGCAATTCTGTACCCCCCCCTTGATGTCAAAATGTCACGCTAAATTCTCACCTACTAACGGCTGGATGTCTTCCTATAATCAAGATTTGAAAAAGCAAATATAAATATTATCGATTCATATCATTTTGCTTACCTGTTAAACAAGAATTCTCGTTCAGTGAAGATTTATATGTTCTGTCAGAACTTCGCTCAGATGAAGTCGGTGAAATAGTTGAATGTCTAGCTTGCTTTGTACTTCTCACTGTTTGATTACATTTAACAGATTGTGTTGGTAAAATCATTTTATTTATTAAATTTATTGAATTGCCATCGCTGGATTTTCTTGTAATCACATAATGCTCAACACAACCATCTCCATCATTTTCATCATTAGTACGATGAATACTATCACTGTTATTGATCAATACAGAAGGTGTCATACATTTTGGTGAAAGTAATGTTAATGAAACTTTATCTCCAGATGTACTGGACAACAAATCAACTACTTGATTCAAAGAAGCTTTTGTAACATCAGCACCATTAATCTAATGTAATAAAATTGCAGAAAATAAAGTAATATTTATTATAATAAGTAGTGTTTTTTATAAATGTTCTACAGATGTGCTAATACAGGTATGTTAACCGATAACCAGAATTTTGAATGATTGAATTATACTGTTCTTTAAATGAATTTTAATTGATAAATATATTAAATTCTTAAATGAGGAGGTGAATAATATTATTTAGACCAAGAACGTCATGTTTAAGATGGAATATTTGTGGATATTGTTCCATTTAACGACAGTTATCATAGCAGATTGACCTTAATTGTAACTTAAGAGTATCAAACTCTGCGGTGTAGAGGACACACATTTATTAAAAGGTTTGAATATTCTGGTTTTAATCACTGCCAGGGTTGTGAATAAACCCTGCTAAAATAATCCTAAAGTAGGCGGAAGCAGTTATTCAGTGCGTTGTGTAGTTAAAGCCAGTCGATGAAGTAAATTAATTTTACCCTTTATATTTATCACCTAGTTACTGATAAGTTGAACATTTCGCACAAGTTTGTAGATTGTAGTAAGTGAAAATATAATAACTGAACTATTAATTTTCTCCCTACTATGGAGTCAATTAATTGAATCACATGAACTCGGATAAATGAGGCTTATTCTTTTTTGAGAATCGACTTAGTATATTTGAATCAAAACAATCATACTCGATGAGTTTTTCATGTCTTCTTTTATTTTATTCGTAAATTAATGAAATACGCACATTATATACTGTAGTAACTCATAAATAACGATTTACTTAAGTGTTATATTAGTGCATTCAATATTTAAATCTTATATTTCATTTGTCTACAAAATGTTTATTACTCTTCAAGCACAAACTATTGAACAAAAGCCTGGTATCATTTAACTGTGAAACCAACAAGACTACTTAAACATTTGATACCTTCATTTAAAAAAATAATAAAAATGAAATTACATGATTGATTTATTAAGAAACTGAAAGATTTTACTAGTGATTTGATGTAAAAAAATACAAGAGTTGGGAACCTGTTCAATTTATTGTGAAAACCATGGTAACATTTACGCCCATTATCTCTGATTACTTAGTCATAAGTCATAAAACGTTTAATGTTTTGCATGAATACAAATTTAAACCACCTGACATAGATGAGTGATGTATTTAAGTCTGAAATGGAAATCATTTAGACAGTAATCCACATTACTATTATTATTTATATAGTGACATGTGAATGGAATGTGCCTAGGGAATCTCAATCAATGTATTTTTTCACCTGACTAAATAATTATAGCAACTTACATTTTTTCATGGGTAATTTTCTTCATCCAATTATGAAAATATTTTATTTAGAATTTATTATTTTGTATTTTGGTAGTTATTAGGGAGAGGATTAATTATTCTCAACTTAGTTATTTATGTTAGTTTAATTAATCTTTATTATCTGAAATAAGGTTTCATTGACAAGTTTAACCATTAGAGAAATGTTGCCTCTCCTTTTTGATTTACTCACTAGGAATTACTAATGGTCAAGGACAAAATTGATATAAAGAGATGTCGTCTCCTTAAATCAATGGGTGTTACCATTCCTTTTTTTTTTCCAGTAGTTTCACAGATTGACGTACTGACACCAAAAATGTTAACTTTTCAAGCGCATTATTTAAACACACAACCCTTTTTTCTTGAAACAGAACTATTAAACTTAAGGACGATGATATTAGTTGAGAGTAGAGATTGAAAAAGTAGTTTTAAGATTGTTGATAGGTAATCCCCTGTTTCTATTCAGTTTTAAAATTAGACATACAAGATTACAATGACAGAACATTGTGCTGTAATTATGTAATAGTTGGAGTAATCTAATTGCAGATAGGTATTTCGAAGATAATTGAATAAGTTACAACACCAAGCAACATCGACTACATTGACTGATATTCGCTTAGTTCAGTCACTTCATAATAGAGTTAGATTTTCATCCAATGGGTAATCTATTTTATTGCAGTCTTGATTCTATTCATAACCAAATCTTTCGTTGATTATAAATTTTATGTTCCTGTATGTGTTATATTACTCAAACGTGTTCATAGACTTAATTACCATTAATATCATACTATTTTTTAATCTTTCTGTGTTCGTTACTTAATGGATCTGTCACTTTCATTTAATAGTTGCTTTTCACTTGTTAATATGCTACATATTATGCCTATTATAAACAATACTAATTGGAAAAAAGATCAGTACATAATTAGTTTAATAGAAGGGTTAATAAAATTCGAATTTATTTTTTAGTTGACTTGACTGTTCTTTATTAATGACTTTAAATATGAATTGGTATTGTCTGAGGAAATTACTAAAAATCGGATAGCATTGATCAGGTATAAAGTTGTATTTTGTAACTTCGAAGGATACATATCAACATATTTTAAATTTAATTCGAAACCATACAGTTCCTCAGTGACGGTAACATTATTCAATTATACACTTTCTAATTTCAATCATTCTCAGTGTAACCAAATCATATTTCATTAATATTAATCAGTGTTCATTTCAATCAAAGTTTTATTAAAACCACGGGCCACAACTTCTTATTTGAACTCTAGGGTATTCGTCTTAAGGCAAGATTTATTGATACAATTGTAAAACTAAAATTTATGATAATGGTTGACTAGCTGCCATTATTCAAGCTAAAATCGGCTTGCTTTATTGTGTCTAGGTTATATGTTTTCAATGTTTTATTCCGTAGATAAGTAAATTTTTCCTTTTAAAAACTTTATAATAGAACCTGGATTATATTATTTGAGAGACGATATAAATGGGAAAAGATGAACTAACAGATATTCATAGTTTTTGGATATTCTGCAAATGAACATTTCGCTAAATTCTATATCACTTTAATGTAAACATATAGAGGAGAATTGAATTGTTTTCAAAATTGTTTATGTCTTTGAAGGTAGAAGTGATTCTCAAATAAGTGTAATACATCGAGGAGAGAGGTTCCATCACAGACTGATATACCATGCGTACCAATCAAAACCAGTGTGCATTCTTAAAAACTGTTTCTGGGTAGAGACTCTTCATCAACGTACACCCACAGCGATGCTAGTAATACATATCACAACTTTGATATTAACAAGAAGTTTTGTTGATCTACACAAAATCATGACGAATATTCAGTGTTCGCTGGTTTTCACTGATTTTGATATTGAAATGTCTTTCAACATTGAAATTATCTCCACAATTCATTTATTTATTTGTAAATGTTTGTTTATTAATCTCTCAATTTACGGTGTATATCAGTTACTCAATCAATATAGGAATTTGAGAAAGATAGCATGGCGAAATAACATAAAGATTCAAAAAGGAAAAACTGACATAGATATATCTAATGAAGGTGCATAAACATAGTTGAAAATTAGTTCATAATGGTTATTAAGGTATTTCACTCATAATGAGCAAAGATGGGTGGTGGCTGGCAGTGGAATCCAGGACGCGCGATTCGTCCTATTTGGGACTTGTCAGCTGGGTGTATCGGCATCTCAGAGTTGATTATATACTTGATACTTTGAACAGCCTAGTAGTAAATAACATCTCTAACTTCTCCGAATTAATATATGTACAATTTGGGAACTCTTAACTCTGTATCTAAGTCGAAAATATCAGTGTGCATCTACTATTTATATGAATTAACTTACAAGTGAATTTCCGATAATTCGGAATATTTTACCATAATCTATCCATGCAGCAAAATCATTGGCACCATTTGTACTATATGTCGGATGTTGATTTAAAACTGCTTACACTAGTGACTTCATCTCAATCCACCAGTGGATAATAAGGACTTTAAATATTTGATCACTGTTGTTAATGAATACATCTAATGAATATTCCTTCATGGTGATGTGTTATCCGTTGATCTTATGCTATTCCTGGTTAATCGGAAAGCTTATATCCATTGCATCATTAATTTTGGCATTGTAAAGACGTACATAGACCAGTTTAAATGAAATCTATCTATATCAGTAGGTCACGATACAATCAGGCAATTATATAACAACAGACATATAAACACTTTTGTTTCTCCTTAGTTTCTGTTTTCGTTTGCTTCTATCTAGTTATTGATGATAATAACTACGTTGTTAAGGTACTGGACTAACCCTTTGCTACTCAGTTCATAGTCAAGCACGATGTTCTTATCCTCCAGCCAGAGAAATACCCGTTCACAACTGTGCATTCTATGCAACAGTTCTTTCATTTCCAAACGCTCATGACCTTATAGCTATCAATTTCTTAGTGTACTTATTTTCTTGTTACACTGCCAATTAAAGACAACTGTGTAATTGCAAAACTGATGACTATTAGGACGAGTCCTCTCATAAAAACTCAGCACTTTAAAATTCTATGACTTTTAATAATAAATTCAGCTTACACCATATATCTCACATTATTAAAATCTCTGTTACAAATATTCAATAAATTGTCTTTTTAAATTATGTACCCATATTTGTTTGCATTTAACATTCCTCATATCAAACTGCTGATCATTGTTTCAGGAAATGTATGTCTTTGTCATTAATTTCCTAGAAAATATAAAATATAATCTAAAATATCTAGAAGTTTCTTATAACAGTTAAAATTCTATTTTCTAATCAGCTGGCAACAAAACTACGCTTTTCACAATAGTTAAAAGCTTTTCATCAATTATCTGATTTCTTTGATTTCTCAAGAATAAAAGTAAGTTCTCATGTTTTCAGTCAAACTAATTTGTTCGTTTTAGCTTTATGCTGAGTAAATATTTTCTTCATTTTGAATCTTTTTTCGTCAATCAAGTTTTCATCCATCTCATATAGCACAATATGAAACATTTTCATATCAGCAAATCTTTTCTGATATGAAGATTCAATGTTGAAGAGAAACTGTGAAATATGAATAGATCGAGCGATGTTACAGTAAGGATTAATTAGGGAGATGTTACATCATACAGTGTAGACCTACACAGACAACTGTTTCGTTATGTAACTAAATACCAACAAATGCCGTCACATTTTTACGTTCAGATACATTCACTCTGTTTTCAAAAGTCAGCTAAATCTTTGTAAGTTTAGTATAATTCTTAGGATAGGATGAAAAGATAAGACTTTATGATCGATGTTACAACAAGTAAGAAGTGTTAAGTATCCCATTTTGTTTTTTAAAAGAACATGACTATTGGTTTGATGATTTTTACATTCATCATATGATAGAACTTACTTTCAGGACGAAATCGCCAACTTTAACACCAGCTTTTTCGGCTGGACTATCTGGTACAACACGTTTAACAGTTTGTAAACTTGGCTTATTTGTTGTTGGTGTAAATTCAGCTATCACTGACGAATCTGTAAAGAATAAGATCAAAAGACGGTTAGCATTGATCCTCTTCAATTTTGATTTCGACGTAAAATATAAAATTTTCAGATTGAGGAAGTGTAAAAAGTGTAAACAACTGGTTTGCTAAGAACAAAACACTTGTCCAACGGATGGAAACGTAAAGTAATTTTTTATGTTTTGTTGAAAACGGAAGTCTTTAAGTGTGATAATTATTTATTTCCAATATTCTCCATTATTCTTCTTATTTTGGTTAAATGATGAAGTTAGAACTGATAAATAGTCGTTTCATAAACATATTTATTATGATGTAAAACTTTGGAATGTGAATTAAATCGTGTTTTAATCATAATTTCGGTTCAGTATTTAAAATAGTTTATTATATGTTTCAGTACATTTACTGGTCAGCAACGTTGAAAATGACACAACAGTAGCATTTGAACCAATGGCTCCCAGACTACATACCTAATGGTATAATGTCTACTTCAGCGAATTTTCAAATCGATATGTGTTCAGAAAGAATGCCTCGCTGACCCCTGTTCGTCTCGATAGCTACTTAGCTAAACCGTGAAATTTCTGTTACAACTAAATTGGATGATATAAGGATCAATATTTGACTGGGCGTGTATGGGATAGCTTAGGCTTGAACGTGGCTAGCAGTTCATCAGCGTTATCCAGTCAACAGGTAACAGTTCCTGAAACATAAAAGCTTCTTAAATAACTAATTGTAAAAGCACAGGTTTTGTTCAACTTTATTCATAGATCTTTGATTCGAAAATCAGTAATTTGATGATTAACGGTTGATGCTTACGACTACGATATTTATCCAGTATAATTAAATTAGCGTGGTGTGGGATCAGTTAAGAGAATTGACATTTGAATATTTAACAGTGTATTACCGTCCTATATCCCACTGTAATGTGATCATTTCTGTTGAGTTAAGCAGTTCACTGACAACGTTAGGAAAGTATTCTAAAACAGCCATTAACTTATGATTAAGGTTGACGTGCACCAAATATTTGTAAGTCACTGATCAAGTGCTCTTTATGTGAGTTCTTCAGTATGAAGGTATATGGCGGAGCAATAAATTCATACTTTGAAATGATTGAGATTTTATTTGGGATTTAGAAACATGGTTTTAAGCAGATAGTTTAGGCTCATAAAAGATATCAATAGTACTAAATTTCTATTCATTATTAGTACAGAATAATTATTTTATGCCTAGTAAGTTGTAATTGCACAGAAACATCACTAATTATAACCATCTAGTTTAAAGATTGTTGAAATTTCAAACTAATTATGTTGTAAACATTCACTAAAGTTTGAGATGTTGGACAATAGATTTAGACCCACTATTCTAAGAGTATCAAGACTGCTGCAAGATCTCTGTGATTTGTGCTTTATCTTACGCAGAATGGTGACTGCCCATTTTTGAGAAGCATTAGAGTAGAACAAAATATCTGTCCACAGCTTTCTGGTTTCCAGTAGTTGTTCAACTGATATTGTATTATATTTGAAATATAGGACAAGTACTGAAGCTGACGACCAAATAATCTTTTAATAATATGACAACCTTTAATACTTTTAAATAAGAGAAATAATTCTTATGAATATGCTTATCTTAATTAAACTATTGGTTTCATTAACTTTTTCTAAAGAATTTGTGTACAGATGTGGGCGGTCTAGTAGAACACAGTTGACCGAATACATAAAGCAGAATAAAAGTTCTTTTTTATTTGTATTGAAAATGAGCCATAGATTTTGTGTTAAAGAGATGCAGAAACACAATATGTACTATGGTTTATTGTTTACGACAGTTATATTTTCTAACTGTATTCAAATACAAATTAAAGAAACTTTATAAATTAAAATGAATAATGATTGGGTAATGCATAAAAACATGATAACCAGCATCTGGTGGTTAATAACAACATGTTGATAGTCTGAGTTTATTAAATGACCTAATTCTATTTAAATAAATATTAGATTATTTGCTACGACAATTGAAGTTTGTCTATTTTCATAGTTGTTTTCATTTTCCATACTTAGGTTTCAGCCTCTCATAAATCTAAAATGGATTTTATCCTAACTGTTAAATATGATATGAAGAGGAAATCTAATGTTAGTTATTATATTCTCTTAAGCCTAGGAGTATCTACATATCTCACAGTCGCTTATTCAGCACATTATATGTACCTCATGCCAGAAGAATTTGGTAAGACGAGATTTTTCTGAACCCAGATATGAGTTCACTTTTAAAAAAAACGGTGTGTAGTCCAGACTTGGCGATGTTAATTGGATATTTGAGTGGAATGAATCATGAAAAATATTCATTGAGTCATTTGGTGATAAGCCCATCCAACTTATGGTATTTAGTGACATATTGGTCGCTATATTCATGGTAGTTCAGAATACACATTAACGACTGATGTAACAGTATTTAAAGAATAATTTTATATTAATCCATTATGACGTAACATGTACTTGAAGACTGTAGACGTTTGAGAATATTTTAGTGGTAGCTGAGACTTAATTAACATGTATTACATTCTACAAATCATCGTGAAACACATTGTAACATGTTGCCAAACAATCACATGATAGGAATTTTGTGGTATTCGTATTTTAATTATTAATAAACATATAGTACTAAGAGTGGTTCGATAGAGAGAATGAAACCACAGAAACAATGAGTGCAGTGACTTCAGAAGTTTACTTCAATTCATTTTATAACTGACTTCATGATGTTTATTTACATTATTGTCATATCTATTATTCTAAACAATGTATGTATTTTGAAGTACAGTTTATTATGATATACAGCAGATCAGAAATAAAAAAAATATTTCCAGTAATGTTCTCAGTTGAAAGAATACCTGTTCACGTAGTCATTCTAATAAATACATGTATACATTAGATAAAATATTTAAATATATTCATTTAAATACGCAGTCAAGGTTAAGAATTTGTCAAAAAATTAGTGACCGAGTAATGAGGATGTCAGTATAACTGATACATTTATGGAATAAATGAAACCTGTAAAAAAGAGAATATAATTCACTAATTCTCTTTGTATATAATTATTCCAGTTGTAATCTTAAAGTTATTTATGTCTATTTCCTTCAGTTTAACTTTTTTGATCTTAATGGTCATGATGCTTTGTGTTCACCAGTCTTTATATAATGAAAATCAGAGTTAAGAGGTAATTAAATTTACACTACATTAGATTTTTGTTTTCTTTCACATTCGTTCTCGTATGTATTACGATTTCTCAAATGATTTACTTAGTCAAACAATTCTGAATAGCCTTGGTTAGTATGAATATTGATTTTGTATGTAGCATTAATTAACACGGTAGCAAAAAAAGTTAATCACAGGAACCAAACAGTCCTTAAAATATTTATTTTACTCAATCTGCTATTAAAGCGATTTTGTGAACCGTCTGTTGAATTTTCAGGTAATTCTTATAGGTTACATATACAGATGTCACTTTCGGTGGAGTTTTGTCCTCTGAGCTGGATGGTTTGGTCGTGGAGTACCAAAATCATCCACCTGAGCTACAAATCTTCTCCACCATCTCAGATCTCACTTTCGATTATAACAAAAATAAAGTTTATTATAATCAGTAAGTAAACGTTTAAAATCCAAAAGCATCAGATACTACTATTTTTCCAATCTAATCGATTGTTTTTCTGGGTAAGACCATAATTTATGGACGACCTGTGAGCGACGCTAAAATGACCTTGATAATGTCTACCTACTTACTAGGGCTAAATGAGGGTTATAAAGTAGTTTGAATAATAAGGATCATGATTCACAGTTGATGGTTAGGGTTAGGAATGAGATTCACGGTTTTTCATCACGAATTTACATCAGTTAAAATGCGAAGACGCTATTTGGCCAAATGGGTTGGTGAATTTCGCGCCAAAATCTAAGACTTGTTATCCTAAATCTGATCACTTCGTCCACAATTTTTGTCTCACCTTTTTATTGTAGATAAATATCTATACACTTTTATGATTGACGTGCGACTCACACTTTCAGAGGTTTAGTTTATTTAGTATCAAAGAAGATAAGTCAGTACTTTTTAAGCCTATTTTCTTTCAACATATATTTTGACAATTATCAACTGTAGAATTCTTCAGGTCATCGTTTTTTTTCTGTAAATTTATCGATGGTTGTCAGATGTCATTTAAAGTGAATGTTTATGTTAGTTAAGTTATATTTGGTATTATTAAGTATTCAATAATTTGAATATAACATCGTTAGAATTTATATTAACAATAAATGAACACTGAAAGTATCTTACATAATTAAGTTTATGATTTAATTATTAGAAATAATTATGTTATTGTCATTTAATGTAAACTAAGTAAAGAAACGTACAGTTTGATTTTAAAACTGGCAGATTTTTTCAATTTAAATATTAAAAAAGTTCATGATACTAATTTTAACGATTTTAATGAGAACAGTAAACTAAGGCTCATTTACTAAAAAAAAGTATTCACAGAGTCATAAATGATAATAAATAATTGTTTAAAGATCCTAATCATATTAAAAGGTGCATCGAGTCAGGTCACTATCCTAAATTGTGTTATACATCAATGAGATGAAACGGGGTTCTACCCCAATAAAAAAGACACTGAAATACCACTCCCTAAACCAGGTTAACAATAAGTAATCGTTAAAATATTAGTATTTTGATGATAAATAAATTTTAAAATAAAATCAACTTTAGTGAAAGCACCAAACAAACCATCATTTAATTCAGTTATTTTGATAGTTAAAACGGTTTTAATTATTCAGAATATATTTTGCTTGGAACCTTTTTTTAAAATAGTCAGTCAGTCAGCTACAACGTAGGACAAGGCACATATATGCATCGGTCCAGGTTGCCATACCGCATTAGCACAGCAAGATGAACCCCGGATTCATAGGAGTGGTTAGGTCAAAGGTGGTAATATATAGGAGAAAGATTGCATATAAGGATATAGTACAGGAAGAAAGAATTGGTTCGTAGAAAGAAAGATATGAAGCGATTTTAATCTCTTAGTTTAAGGGAAGACAGGGAGTGTATACACCTACGCCATTGTGATCGATTTTGAGCCGTGTCACCAAAAGTCTCCAACCATCGGTTACGATAGCCACGCGGACCTTAACCAAGTAGTCTGCATCTACCAACATGGCTCAGACCAGAAGTTAGTGTCTTCAAGCACTGATGCCATGTTTTGGTTTGGCCGCCCCTAAGTTTCTTCCAACCATCTCCAACACCAGTTAGCATTGCACGTCGTGGTAATCGGTGTTCAGGCATACGTAACACGTGGCCCAACCATCTCAGTCGATGAAGATTCACACTATTTTTCAAAATAGTGTGTTCACCAGGTCAATTAACGTACATAAATATTTTTTTTGTTTATGTAAAAATTATAGCAGATTGTTTATAATAACTTACTTTTCACTGTACGAATTGATAAACCAAATGAAGAACGTTCATTTTTATCAATACCATTAGATGAATAAGAATATCTTTCCAAAATAACTGTACGTATATTATCTTTTGAATTGGTTGAATGTTTCAAATCTAAATGTTCATGTAATGTAGATGATCGTCGTAAATGTCTTGAATCACATATATTAACATGAACTGATTTGATATTATTTGTTTGTTGATTAAGTTTATTTACACAATTTTTATTATTATTACTTGATAAATCTTTTGAAACTTGAATAGATTGAAAATGTGCTGGATCTTTTTTATTCCCTTGACTATTGATAACATATTTTGATTTAGTAAAACAAGAAAATGAACACAAATAATAAGTAATTAATAGGAGAATTAATAGAAACTGATGTCACTTGATTAATCGCTAAATTATGTTGTTTATTACAATGACTTCAACTAAAATGTGTTAGTTAAAATGTTTGAAAAAAAGATCCAATCAAAAAGAGAGGGTAAGAATTTGCCCATTGGATAAACACATTGTTGTGTACGGATTGACCGAATAAGAATCTTCATTTGTTTATCAAATAAATTAATAAGGTTAGTTATAAAGGTATCGTTCAAAAAAGACTCGTTCTATTGTAAATAAGTCTGACTAACTATCTTGGTTTTGTTATCTAACGGTACTAGAATTCAATGTATAAAATGATTACGCCTTGTGTAACTATGGCATAAAATTAATCTTAACATGGACGTTTTGGAGTTTAACTAGATACATGATTATTTCCTGAGGTAATTGTGATTAAGTATGTAACTTTGCTGTATTCAGGTTGACGATAAAAATAAACACTTACCATCCCGTTACAAGATATACACCAGTTGTTTATCTTGACCTCAAAATATTAATCAAAAGTATTGGAAAAACAATCATCATCTTCAAGTCGAAAGAAATTTTTAGGCATTGTTCTTGAGTTATTTTAATTTATCCAATTTAGAGAATTATGATGAACTAGATCATTTCATAATAAATTATCTAGCCACTTCGTTTTTCTATAACTTCATCGAATTACCAACAGAATTCTTAACAGAATGATATAGATAAATATAAGGAAAATATTTTTATTGCACAAATATTGTTTCAATGAAATTTGTGTAGCTGAAATTCTGTGGATATAATATACCACATTGATCATAGTTAAAAGTATAACCACGGACGAATGTTTATTCTTATTTAGATTAGTTAAGTAGATGAAAACCTTGAATTATGACTTCGAGTATAGAATTGAAATTAAAGAAAACCTAATGAATACTTCGATCGATCAAAACCAATTATTGGGAAACTATCGTAAGAAACCACATTCTAGCGGTGATAAATTGAATTTACCTCGATATATATATATATATATATATATATATATATATATATCATTCAAATATTTAGCATCGAAATGATTTAAAGGAATGTAATTCTATGAGATCACAATCACATTAGAAGCAGATAGTGTAGAATGTTTCAGACTAAGTAAAATATAAAATAGTTTGTTCGAATTCTCCTTTATTACCATAAATAATAATGGTTTTGGGTTATCATTTTGAATGCTATAGTTGAATTCACTTATTGATTAGAAAACACTAGATTCAATAAAAATTTACATGTAGAACTTTTGAAACAAACACCCGGGCGGCCTATTTGAACATCTGGCCTACCGATTCCTGCCATCTAGATATTTCAACAAGTTATCTGCTTCTTTGTTTGTTTTAACAGATAATTATATGGATTAACTGAATAACCTATTCAGGTGTGTTTGTGAAATTTTTACGACATTTCGCTGAAAAAGTTATAAAGATGTACAGTAGGAGACATCGTGATGACTGGCGGTGTGCATTGAAAAGAATGAATATTATTTAGATGTCTACTTCTGAAATGCTAATATCCAACTAGCGATCACTCAATATTTATAATCAATATCGATCAAGAAATAAGGAATAGAAACTCGCTGAAATACGTTGTGCTGAGAATTCTGTATTGTACCAAATATATAGTAGTGAATAAAGCTAATAATAATCATATAAAGTGAAATAATTTACTTTTCCTTAAAATTCAACAATCTTTTCAAAATGGTATACATGTATCTGGAGTTGATGAAGTTAACAAAATGTTTATCAACTGAAATTATTAAAATCTGTCATGGTTCTTTTTTAGTTACTAAAAAATTCTGGTTAGTGACATTCCATCAAAATAATTTATTGACATTATTTTGTATTAAATAATAAAGTTTTCTTTGATTTTTTTTCTTCAGATTATTATACTCATAAATTTAGTATACACTTCATTATTGCCACAGAATTTGTGCTCTCTGTCATTATCTATTCTAACCGGTTGTTTACTTTTGCAGAGATCATGTGTATAGGTGTATTCGTAAGATTATAGTACACTGTGTAAGTTGTAATTTATTTATTTATTTTTTTTGCTGCCAACTTCATGTTTTATTGAATACAATTCAATAATAAACTATTAATGTTCTTCTTAATAAATATATTCATCAAATTGTTTTAATTTTATTTCAAAGGACTATTTTATTGTTATGTATTGAATACAGAAAATAATGCTTGTCAAATTAGCGGTACCATAAAATGAATGTACTATTTATTAGAAATTTAAAGTTACAATTATCAAGTCGGTCAATTTCAGCAGTAAAAAGGGAATAGCAAGTACAATACTTCTAGAAAAATAACATAGATTGATTTCATTTGGTTATATGATAGTTTACTATATCACCAGGGCTTAAAATATTTGTAAAAATATATTTGATTACCAGTTATTGAGATAAGTATCGGAATAGTGCAACAAAGATCCAATTATTAACTTTTACTGTTGGCTATAGATGCCATAATGAATACCAATTTAAACATTTAGTATGTGATAACCTAATATGAATGTAGCTCCGTGTTTATGTTCCTTTTAAGAACAACATAAGGAAAGATCAAGACTTAGATACATCATGTATTAATTTTGTCACGATTACGTAATCACTTATTTTTATTATGATTATAAGTAACTGTAATGTCACCTCTTCTGTTAAACGTAACTATTTCTTTCCATACATAAATACGCGTCCTACCTGTCTATGCTTAATCGAATAGTTTACACATCTTCACTTCTGTTATGACGTTTGATCCTGTTTCAAACGTCTATACCAACTTAACAAGGCAAAGAATGTCACTAAACGACCTTTTCATCTTGCCATAGATTTGACAAGATCCTGGATTGGTTGAATTAAAGCATTTAAACTGTTGAATGGCGGTCATTAGTCCAGAGGTTAGCAATCCGAGCTCGAGACCGAAGGTCCTGGTGTTGACTCCCGGGTACGAGGTTATGGATGTGCAATGCTGAAAAGTCCCACATTACGATGAAACGTCTGTCCAGTGCTACCACGTTTGTGATTTGAACTGCGACAAGTATATTTTACTCTGTTTTTTTTTAACGATGAGCAGTATATTTTCAACATTGTCAATAATTTAGATGAACACTAGAACATTTTTATGTTTTTGTGTTGAAAAAACATATGTCCCGAAGTGTAAAACGGAAGTGCATTAATAGTTTCTACTACGCTACTCTAATTTGCAAAGATGTTATGCGCAAAAATGACATAGTGTGGTGCGTGCTACTTATATTGATATATGTAGTATATTATGCGAGTCAGGAATGTAATGTCCGGCAGCAGAAGATGAGGGAAGATCAAGAAAGCAGGAGCGGGAATAGAATGCAATTTGTGTGAAAATGTAAGAACAATGAAGTCTGAGGCATTTTGAGACAATTGATGGACATTTTGCAAATTAACGATTTAATATATAGTTCTTAGATTTTATTGAGATGCTCTGTAATTTTTGCGTCAAATACATTCGATTGTCCCCACCCGTGTTCTGTTCACTACAATAGATTTCTGTGATTACTTTGAATTCTTATTGACTGTGCGTTTTTATTTTGTCACATAGATAATCTTCACTTGCTCGATAAGTTTTAATTAACATTTGTGATCAGACTAGTGCAGTGGTAATTGTCATGTGATTAACACACAAATGATATTAGGAAATATAGCAAATTAAAGTATTTAAGACGATATATTTGTTTAGGATGTTTGAATGAACATTTTAACTAAATTAAACAATATCCATGACATTTATAATTTGAGATTTAGGCCAATCTCGGTAAAGATAATATAGTTGTTTATATATAAGGGATACATATTTTCTTCATGTGGTTTCACTTAGAAATAATATAAATCAGTGATTAGAAATGTATGAAGTGTTATTTCTCTTTCCTAGAAAATCATTTATTGACATTGAAATGTTGTCTGTTTCCTCTGAGGTTTTTGTTTATTTCAAATTAAATTAATAATAAATCAAGGATGTTTTTGATGAAGATAAAACATATAAATGTAAAGTTTATTTATTATATTTGACTGATTTAAATCATCGAAATCATAAAAAGAAAAAAAGAAAAAAAATTTACTATGAACTGACTGAACATGATAATGATGGTAATTGCTGATGCCAGCTTCAAGGGTAGTTCATTCATCCGATATTCGGAGCAAATTCCAATATCTTAAATTATTTTTTTCATTTGTATCAGAAGAGGTTTTGTGGAGATTGTAGTAATTTCAATAGTTGAGAATATAAGTCAATTGAAACTAGACCACCATGGACAATCTGGAAGCACTGAACGGCCGCTTCGTTGGATGCCGGCTCAGTGGTCTAGTGTTTAAGCGCTCGCGCGCAAGACTGATAGGTCCTGGGTTCGAATCCCGCGAGGTGAGGTCGTGGATGCGCACTGTTGAGAAGTCTCACAATAGGACGAAACGACCCTCCAGTGCGTCCAGGTTCTGCATGGCAGTCTAGCTTCAATTGACTCATGATTTCAACTATTGATATTTTTCATTTATTGTGAATATGATCACAAGATATTTTCTTAAAAACGATTAGATGTTTGATAATTAGCATGGGTGCAAGTATTCAACTATGATCATAGCTAATGTTTACACAAATATATCTAAGTATCCTAACGTGATAATATAAAGCACTGTTTTTTTACACGCTTCTTTAAAGTTTATTGACTTTGAAGTCATTGCCCCTTACCAAATATTCTCATGTTTCTAAGCAATCTATGTATTCTGTAGATTAATAAACATAAAATTAAAATTTACCACAACATTTTTTCTTAGCGAACCTCGAAAAAATCGTTCAAGTTAGTCGCCTAAACATTCAGATGAAATTAGAAGAAAAGGTTTTGGATGACAGTTGTTATTATTTGCAAGCAGTTATCAAGAGTAAAGAATCAGTGGAAATCTAGTTTAATATATGTATCATGGCATAAATATTTAACTGCTGTATAAATATGTGGTATTTACTGATTAGTAAAAGCTTTCGAAATTGAGAACAGTAATGTAATATTTTGTCTTGCGTTATAATTACCCAGTTGTTAGGATTGTTTTTTATTGAGAAAATAACTCCTCAAAATTCGTTTATACTGTTATCTTTAAAGTAACTTGTGGGATGATACATGTTTAGAAATAAACTTGCTTCAAGAATGCTGCTGTTATTATTATTGATCATACAAATTCATTTATAACACATTTTATTAATATACAACTTTAGGTTATTCTAAAATGAATACAGTATTAAAAGACCAAAGTCCTAGTAACAAACTTAAGTAATAAACAAAATGCTGCAGAAGTAATATTGGTAGTACTAGTGTAGTGAACGAGAATATTAGTGGGGATAACTAAATGTATTTGAATACGAAATTACAGAATCTCTTGGTAAAATCTGAGAACCATATAGTAAATACTTTATTTGCTAAAAATGTCCATCGATTGTTTCAGTCTTTATTGTTCCTTCATTTCTATATTAATTGCTCTCTGTTCTCTTCCTCTTCTCTTAGACCTGCTCAACCCTCTGCCGCCAGGCATTCCACTTTCAATCGGTGACAAATATTACTTATATCTGTCGACACCAATAGCACACACCATAGTAGTAATAATAGTAATAGTAGTAGTAGTTTACAATCATTGTTGTTTATTTGAACTTGAGAAGTAACCGTATGTTTTATTGAAATTCACTTAACAAAAATATCCATCTAGACTTTATTTGAGTGAATATCTAAAAATTACCAGTCTTACACACCATTTGTTTCATCGGATATTGTGAACAAAATATCCTTACAATCTTATATTAAATCTGGTAAATTACCAAAGTGAAGAATTTAAAAAGACATTTTACATAGAAGTTTACCACTTCAGAGTACTTTAAACTGAAAATTCTCATTATTATCAAGTATAATAATATTGCATTGATTGATCATTCGATATCTGAAGGTAACAACTAAGCTTTGAAGACATGAACTAGAGATGTTAGGTGTTCAAAAGTTACCCTAAATCAGGTTATCAAAGCAAAACTTTGATATAAATAACTGTAGATCAGTATAAATGTTCATTAAATTTTTATAAAGAAACGTTGATTGAACATATAATCATAATTTTTGACTTCTCAGCTAAGATTCAAAGTGCGTCAATCAACTGATATTTGCACTTGAGTCACGTAATGTCGAACAATCTCTAAAGACAAAATCGACATTTGAAGGAACTAGATTACGTACAAAAGAAATTAGAAACTCTTCATGGACAATGTAAAATAGTTGTTGATAACAAACCAAAAGTGTTATTTCATCATTTTCTGTATAATTCTTTTATTTATATTACACTATATATATGCATGTAAAGCAAATAAATTTTTATTGAAACACCTAATCGATCGCTTAAATTGATCAAAATGAATTCTGAGATCATTGGGTCGAATTGGTAACAAAGAATGGAAGAAGTCGTATTAGCGTGTATACATATTAATCGTGCAGTAGCTAGGAGATCGATTGGCATGATGGTAGTGTCTTTGACCGTAACGGTTCGTATTATCTGTCTGATTTTCATGAAAGCTTTATCTTTTTCAAAGTTTCCGGTAAGCTCCATTGATGAGTTTCATAAAGTATGAATAATATCTTGAAAACATTGTGCGGAGTTCCTCAACTTATTTTGTTTATACATATATGTAGTGTTATTTATTGTTTTGGCGATTCAATCAACACTAAGTATTACGCAACGCAAGATTTGTAAATTAACATGTCAAAAAAGCCATAATACAAAAAGCATACTTATGGAATTTATTAAAAATTACCCGAAATTTTCATATGAAGACAAAACTCCATCCTGGTATTTATCACTTTGATCATGATGAATGTTATTATTGTGTTTTCGATTCAAAGAACCAAATGTATTCGGTCGACATGACGAATTACTTATACCACTATCTGTTTGACTGCCTTCACGTTGGAATCCTTTGTTTTCATGTGTGATAAAATCATATAAAACATCAGTTTGTTGACCCCGTGATATTGTTCGTTCTTTTGACGGATTTCTATTTGCAGACCCTAGCATTGTGGGGCACTGTTGTCTTGGAAGTTGTTGTTGTTGTCGACAATGAAGATATGATGTAAAAACATCCGTTCGAGATTTTGATACGGACATATCTATAAGTTTACAAAGTTGACAAAAGCAGAATATTCATTTTTTTCTCTTGAAAATATAAAAAAAACATATTTGCATCGTATGTTAATAAGATAATATTAGAAGAATTAAAATAAATATTCTTTAATTTATTCAATCTGGATAATAAGAATTTGAATAACTCATAACTATAAATGTTTCATTGAGTTCCTAAATAGGGTTAGGTCACTTAATTGTCACTTGGGTTTGAATAATGTTATGCAGTCTCGAACGTGTGTAACTCACGTAAAACCGAGTAGTTAATCACCGCAAATAATTTGCATATAGACGAAATTGTAGTTAATAATACTTATATAAATAAATAGAACATTAATAATGCTGCATGTTGCTTGAAGAGAATGTGATTTGTTAGGTTTTTTATGTCCACTATGTATTTATCAATAACTAGGTCAAAAGAGGTACATTATTTCCGTTTGTTTAGGTTCATGCAACTAAATGTAGATATTTTGTATAATGTTCACCTCTACACGTAAGTGTACAAGGGGACAAAAATGACAATAAAGGGAGTAAGCTGTTAGAACAAATAACTTTACGTCTAGTCTGATGAATAGTGCACAATAGGAATAAAGCAGACAATTAATGTCATTCAATACAAGTCTAACCTAATTAGATATAGACAATGACTGAATTTAAGTGTGCCTTTATAACTGTATTAATACAGTTTGAAGTGTTTCAAGGTGTATAGTTGACTTAGCAACTCAGCATTTATGATAATTCTAGACCGACTCTTTGAGGCAAATAATACTTATTATAATCAAACAATAATTTTATAATACAAAAAATATTTTTAAACCATTTCTGAATATTGCATGCTCAGATAAATCATTTTAAATCTAATAAAATGGTTTTCATTAAAGTGTCAATAGATCGACGAAAGCAAACGATATAGGATTATTGTGATTAAATTAATGACCTTTCTAATAAATATTACATTTTGCGTATTATACCATTCAGTTTCAAACTTTGAGTTTGCTTATTCACATAACTTTCTCAGACATCTTCCATTACCTCTTGCAGCATTTCGAGACATGTTTTAAATGAAGTAAGTTCACTGAGTTCTTCATCATATCGATCAGAGTACTTCTGATGGTGAGATGCATCACTAATGTTCATTTTAAACAGTTGATTTTACTTAAATTTGATTCAGTTTAAGGAGCGTCTCAGGTTTAAGGATAGAAATTCCATAAAATTCTTCAAATATCTCGATGGATTTTTCCTGAAAGTAACTTCTTTATGGAACATTTTTCGTTTCTACATTTACAAACAAACATATTTTGAATCTATTTTGACCAAATTATCAAATTATACAAAAACATCTAAAGCTTTATATAGAACGTCTGAAAGCTAACTGTGACGAAGTAGCACTTGGAAATTTAGACTGAATGAAAATGATTTCACTGTTTCATGATAATATATAAATTTAGTGGCCAAAATAGTTTGATGGTAATTTTTGAGATTGTGAAGGAAAATAATGCAGGTGCGATATCCATAAAAAGCACCAATTCTCAGAGGATTGGAGATATTTTTTTCTGGTGAGTTCCAACTAGAACTAAACTTAGGGTTGGAATTTCGCCTAGACTAAATCAAACTACTTAACATCTCTACGCAGTGCACTCAATGTGCAATTACTCAGATTTGTGGTCACATTACTACTTGTTCGATAGAATTCAACCACCAGTAAAAGCTTAGACTTACACATTCTTGGTCACTAATCAGAGATCAATCCGCTGTATACAACGATTTCTTAGACTTTTCATTGCATACTATTTACTTCGATACGTTTCCTTGAGGGAACATAATTGTTAAACACTGTAAGAGGAATTATTTCATCACTATTCAACAAACCTAAGACCTTAGTTTATACATGGACTGAATCAGGAAGTGTTCACTTGACAGTAGACAGATTATTAAGATGTTAAAGCAGCTAAAACAACAAGGAGGTAAATTACCTCATTCAAGTTGATGTTGGAAAGCACACACTGTTAACCACTGATTATACACTTATGTTTTCCACCCAATAATTCTTGTTTACTTCTAGTACAATTACATTTATCTGACTTGGTTTCGATTTTAATATGTTTATAAAAATCTGATATTTAGATTGCGGTTAATTAACTGGTCTACATGCTTGCACAAGATGTAATCTTTTTGAGGGAGGACGTTCAGAAGAGGTTAATTTATTAATTTGATGTTTAAAACGTTTTTGATTTTGATTATTTCATTTATGCTGATAACGGTTATATGGATACCAAATGCTCATGAAATATTCTAATGTTACCAAAATTATAATCTACCGAGATCGTTATGAAGCAAGATGAGCACAATGAATCAAACCAATAACAAGTGTGTGGTTTTTCAAATACTAAAGAAGTGAAGAAATTTGGTGGGGGAAAATGTAAAATATTTTTAGGACCCGAATTAAAAATTCAACAGTTCATGTTAAGTACTTAATATTGAAGACTGTTGTTAAATAATCTGGAGCTGAAACTTTAAAAAAAAGATTTGAAATTGTCACCATATATCATCTTATTGTTTATGTAAATGGTAGCTTGGCCAAGCATAGTCCGCAGTTACAAATTCACGCTTTCCTCTTGTTAAAATATGCAAATTATGGGTTAACTGAAACACCTATCATTAGTTCTTACGTATCAAAAGTGTTGTCAAAAATTTCTTTATATCCAGGATAATATTTCATAATCAAACCTCATTACATAACACAGTTAAACTTACTGAATTCTCTTACTTGTCAAGAACAATTTTGATTTAAACCATACTTTCTAATGTAATAGTATTTAAAATAAACACCATGTCTTATACAAACGTGATTGAATAAACATAATAGTCGATTTACAAAGTTTATAATGGTGATAATTTACTCATTTAAAGTTAGTGGGTCTATTACGTGTTACAACTGCATTTTATTGAATATTATCAAGTAATAATAGTCCGAAATTAAATCGAGTCAAATCTTAAAACGCTAAAAGTATGTTCAGCCTTAAAAGATATTACTCTAGACCTTGATATCAATATACTAAGTATATACAACAGATAGGTTAAAGAATGAATAAACTAATGTGGCGTTATTGTTATGCTAAGAAAAATATTTTTTTCGACATAAGGTAATTGTATAATAACCTACATAATATAAGGTTCACTTGAATTTAGACACACGTTGGTTCTTAAAAATACAAAAAATAACCAATTTTGGATTGGAAGTGTCTTGATTTGCAAATATTTGGTGACCAGTTATTAATAGGTATTCTATAGTTTATTCTGTCTGATAAATAATCGCTTAATTTTCATATTAAACACATTACACTTTTATTATTATAGATAATCGTTATAAACTTCAAATAAGATTTGGAAGTTTTAGGTAGATAGTATATATCAATATACATAGAAATATACGAGCTTATGCAAATGCAGTAAAAAGATAATAATAAACATCTGCTTTGAAATTCTTGATTCATCTTGATTTCAGAGCTTTCAAAAAATTCCATTCACTGAAATTAACTATAAAGCTATACATAGAACGCATAATTCACAGTAGAAAATGTGGTTTGTTTCAAATTATATTCATGATCTCAAATAAATGATTTTAATTCATTGATTAGTTGGAGTTAAACAAGAGAATAAATTCCAAGATACAATTCACAATAATAATAAAACAGAAATTGTTTTCAGTTAGATTTAATAAATCAGATTGAAATCTTTAAAAAAAAGGATAAATCATGTTCAAAATATATAGAGGCTGTTACTTTATACGATGTCCATATTGCGACATAATTGAACATAAATTTTGTAGCTATTTTTCAAGATGATAGTCAGTTGCACATTTGAACAAATGTAGATATTATCGTTGAAATAAACAATGATTAGATGATAAAAGTCATTGTCATTAAGGAAATCATGTTCGTTCTGTCATTATATTATTATAATTATTTCCAGTCAAAAAGTTCACCGATAATTAAATAAATTATTTTCGTGATTTATTTTACATATAATCAATAAAATCGACTTTATTTTCAATATAAGGGTTAGATTTGGAAAAAAACATTTTAGTTAAAAATGTATTGAACAAAATCTTTTGTTTATTTGAGACATAACATATTCAGCAGTATTTAAAATTGGTCAAGAATCTTTTATGATGAAGAAACCAAATCTTTTGATTGTGATGATAGGTTGCTAAGCATTGATAATTAGAATGTATATGATATCTATTTTATACCAGCCTAAGACTCATCAAGAAAGTGCATTTATGATCTAATAATGTGAATCTAGTGAAGATATGATACATAACATCAATACGATCTTTTCGTTTATAGTAAATTTCAAAAAATGGGATAATTTTATATACTTTCAATAGTTGAAATCATGAGTCAATTGAAGCTAGACCACCATGCAAAACCTGGAAGTACTGGACGGCCGTTTCGTCCTAGTATGGGACCCCCGGCAGATTCAAACCGAGGACCTATTAGCCTTGCGTGCGAGCGCATAACCATTAGACCACTGAGCCGGCACTCAATGGTGTTGATGTCTAACTTCAACCAATCCACGAAGTTGCGCCACCGTACACTATTGTCTTCAGTAAGTCGATATCTCAAAACAGACCTGGTTTAAGTCAACTGGCAACGGTTTCTCACTAGAACTCCAGGAAATGCCTCTTGAAGTTAGCCACTAGTGAGCCGGTTCAGTGGTCTAATGGTCAAGCGCTCGCGTGCGAGACCGATAGGTCCTTGGTTCAAATCTTGGGGGGGGGGCGGGAACGTGGATGCGCGCTGCTGAGGAGTCTCATACCGGGACGAAACGGCCGTCCGGTGCTTCCAGGTTTTCCATGATCGTCTATCTTCAATTGACTCATGATTTCAACTATTGAAATTTCTGAAAACCTCCACAAAACCGCTTTCGATAATTTTATGTACTCCTATTCCTCTTCTTGAATTAATAAAAAAAATTTGTTTTC